TCTTTCTTTCTTAAAGGAGGTTCCCCCCCCTGCATTCGCACAATGTCTGCTTTTTATATTTATTTTGAATTATTATTCAAAGAGAATGATTGGAAGTATAATTTTTTTTTTCATTCGAGAACTATTACGTCTGAGACGCCGGGGCGGCGTTTTGTGGATTCTTCCATGTGGACGGTAAGTACTGGCAGATGTTTTCTGAAAGAGAGAAATATTCCAGAACTTGGGTCACCCACTTCTCTAACACACGCCATCTCTCAATACTAGGATTTAACCTTGGCATCGGCCACGCTGTTGCGCCAGCTGCTCTGTCTGAGAAGAAAGTGGACTCCAGAAATTCACTCCACGCGATCTCACAGCTGTCCAATGGCAGTTCGGAGAAACACAAATTTTGAACGAACAATGAGCACAAATTGTATTATAATGCATTTTGAAGAACGCGCCCATATGTGTGCTTGTAACAAATCAGTTACAGAATATATGCGCTGTGAAGGATTTGTGCAAAATTGCCGCTTACACATGCAGCCCCACAGCACGTAAATCGATCAGCTACGTGGTGTTCCGTCCCAGATTTGATTACATTAAACGGATTTATTCCCGTAGAGAAATAAGAAAATCCAATTAAGATCTCCAGATAGTCAGTAGTCAAAAATGACATTGTTATTTATTTCACTGAACGAGTTGAAACTTTCTCCTGAAAAAAACTCCAATCAAGTCAGCAAACATTACGAGGGATATTTGTTGAGTTTTTAAATTAAAAATAAAATTGCACAAAGATGAAATTTTGGTCGCTAACTTTTGAAATATTTTTTTGGCATAGACATTTTTGGTGTTTTAAAAAAATTATAAAAACCTTATTGAATTCGAAATTTATTGTGATTTATAAATATGGAGCTTGGTAGTTTTTTTCGTTTTTTATTGGAACATCTATAATTTAAAAACCTTTTTTAGTTTAATAACCCTCATAAGGAGAATGTCCATCGCCTGAATATATATTTGCTGTCGTCACATCCCCGGCAGCCACGAGGCGCGCGGAGTTGCCAGCTGCGTTCAGCCACTTTGACGAATGGCCGAGTGGGGCACATTCCTTATGCTGTAAAAACGACCAAAACAAACTTACGTCATCTTTTGGCGGCTTGTTTGAGACAAGGTTTGGAGTCGCCTGTTTGAGAACCATCATTTGAAAAAGTGCTGAGGGGGAGAGGAGGGAATTTTGTCCCTTTTATTTCCCTAAGTGTCGATCGATCCTCAATTTAATATTACGTCGAGAGAGGAAGCTTTGATCTACGCGGCATTCCTCCTCGTCTCGTAGCACGGCGTTTATTCTGGAATATTGTGGGTGGTGTTCTCGAGAGTGTCTGCTTAGAAAGGTATCATGTGATATATATTATAATGTATATATAGTAGCATTTATTAGTTAGTTTTCTATGTAAAGGGTACTGTCCGGTATTCCCCACGACACCATGGTATGGCGGCAGAAGTTGGTGAACGGATGCAAATGTCGAGCACACATCGATCCGAATGGCTCCAATTAAAGACGGTGATTAGAGCTCGGCAAACACGGCCGCGATATTGGACACCGAGATATCAATAAATCCGGAGAATTAAATAGAGGAGGCGACGAGATTACAACAGCCGTGCTATAAAAACAACCTTCGATACAAGTTAATGGGAAGCGTGTCAGCACAAGACAATCGCGTCAAGACAAAGGCTCGGTCGGATAAGCTCCAAGAGGAAGTTGGTTCAGTTATCAGGGTGTTTTGATAGGCCGTGTTGGTTTAGCGGCGCTGCTGGTTTTATTAGTTTAAAATTTTATCCCGTTTTATTTTTCTCGAGAAGCTTCATTAAGTCGTGGCGCGTTATTAGGTCTTATGAGAATCTTTCTTGACAGCAGTGTGACAGCTTGAAACGTCGAGTTTAGGTTTCCACCAAGACAGCAGAACGTTCAGTAATCCCCTGCTGCCTCGACCACAGAATTTATGTTGTCATCCCACGTACATCTGACAACTGTTTTTTAATGTGAATACACCGCCACACAGGTAAAATCAGTTCGGCACTTACAAGGTGTCAGAGCCCCGTTTGATTACTTGCACCCACTGGCGTGATGATGTTCCATGATAATCATGCGTGCTTGGCTCACAGACCGAGACAGCTATCAGGAACGTTTGGCCTTATACAAAAGCGATAGTCGGAGGTCGATCAAAAATGTAATTTACTCGGCGCGCGAGTTCTTTCTTCCATTACAGCGTCAGATATATCTTCTAGAGCCGAGTTCCCTTCACACAAAGTTGTTCTGGAGAGTCTCCCCTAACCAAACTTACACTTTAAATAGGTCATCAATTAAAAATGTAACTTTAAAAACAATTGTTAATGTAAAAATTATTGTAAAAATAAAAATGTTTCTTTATTGTTAAAAAAAAAAAAAGATGTAGGCAAGTCTCCATTATGTCTGTACCTCTCAACTATGCAACTATATATTGTTGCACCAGGCTGCGGTTTGACAGATTCTTCAGTCTTGATTCTCTCCTCGGACGCGTCTTGCATCTTTCCAGAATGTGTCTCAACCATTCTACAAGGTTAAACCAGTCAATAATAAGACAACTATATATTTAGGTAGCACCTAGAATCTCTCTTTATTTATCACATCAAAGTTTAAAGCAGGTGGGGTATTTAGTGTATCAAAATAAAAATGTTTTATAGTTCACTAGCCGAATGACCCGGGCTACGCCCAGGTTTTACCCCCAATTAAATGTTTTTATTCAAATACTATTCGTTACAATTATAAATTGGCGCCGTGGATGTCACTCTTGTGAAACGTCCCGCTCCAAACTTTGTGTCTGAGAAGCGATATTTTTAGAGAGAGATGATCTGGCTTTGTGTCTTCTGCATAATTTAATGTTTTTTTTCTGTTAGAATTTTGTTCCTGCAAACTAAAAATCAATTGGCTTCACCCCTGGTCTCTGATTTTTGGAATATTTTCCCCGATATAATTTTGTATCTGATAATCAAACATGATACAGCAATATTGTCATAATCATTTTGTGACTATAAAACAACTATTTTTGCCAAGAACCTGTCAATTAAAATTTTCTTGGCTAAAAATCCGATAAATATATCTTCCAGATTTTTCTCTATGTTCTGTTAAAACACGCTTTACATGTACATTAGGTCAGCTGATATTACCTCCCATCTTCACCGCTAGAGGCGCTGCTTGCGAGCGAAAGGGCAAATTCGCAACGCAATTTGCAAATAACTCGAATAATATTCGGGATAGAGACCTGAAAATTTCACTATAAGTTTTTCCAGATTCTACTCTTATACTGTTAAAATTTCAGTCAGATTAGTTACGTATTGTGGACGTGTATAGCCGACATAGGAACAAACACACATACATACACTGACTTTTATATATATAGGGATAATATTTTATAGTAATAATCTGTTTTATAAAAATAAATAAATATATAATTCAAATAAATATACAATTTATATTTTAAATATATCAAAATAATATTATAAATAATTTTAAAAATACGCCCATTAATCATTATTCAACAATATGCAACCCAATTATGCAACTATATATGCATCCCAATTATGTAACTATATATGTCACTCAACTATACAACTATATATGCAACTCAACTATGCAACTATATATGCAACCCAACTATGCAACTATATATGCAACTCAACTATGCAACTATATATGCAACCCAACTATGCAACTATATATGCAACCCAACTATGCAACTATATATGCACCCCAATTATGTAACTATATATGCCACCCAACTATGCAACTATATATGCAACTCAATTATGTAACTATATATGCCACCCAACTATGCAACTATATATGCAACCGAAAGATGCAACTATATATGCCACCCAACTATGCAACTATATATGCAACCCAACTATGCAACTATATATGCACCCCAATTATGTAACTATATATGCCACCCAACTATGCAACTATATATGCAACTCATGCCATACCTATTTGACCCATTAAGAAATAAAGGATGTCCATACATTGTTTAATCAACAACAATTTAACAAATAGAAAGGCTATCCTTAGAACGGAGAAATAGTTAGAGATATGGGAGCCTCCAGGGTACTGTGTTGTGGAATATATCTATTGGTACAGAATCATGCAGATTCATGTGAGGATTATGCGGATGTTGTTCTCATGATAATAAGAGGTAGAACAATTGAAAATATGTCGCGGATGTCTTTAAAAAATGGAAGAATGGGGAATTGAATCAAAACTAAATTTTAACCCACAAAAATCTAAAACTATACTTATAACAAATATGAACAAATTTGAAAATTCTAAAAGAAGCTGTTATTGCCGCCAGTGGTGGTTCAATGAATGTGTACATCTATATAATACTTAAAGTAACTTTTTAATACAATATAAAGGACTGCGGTGTATGATTATAAAGTAATACTTAAATCCTCCCCGCATAAGTTTCTTTTTTTGTGAAAATCAATATTAATTTCAAAAAGAAATATGTACTATTTCTAACTTTGTGGATGACGTATGAAAAGGTTGAATATATGAAGAGTAATGGTCTATATATGATTGGATGACGTATGAAAGGGTGAAAATGTGAAGAGTAATGGCGAACGGAAAAATAAAAGTATCCAGGGGCGGGAATCGAACCCACAACCTTCTGCTTACCGGGCAGGTGCCATGTCCACTAGGCTACCCTGGACGTATTTTTCCGTTCGTAACTAATACTTAAAGTAACTTTTTTAATACAATAAAAAGGACTGCGGTGTATGATTATGAAGTAATACTTAAAGCCTCCCCGCATAAGTTGCCTTTTTTGTGAAAATCAATATTAATTTCAAAGAGAAATATGTACTATTTCTAACTTTTTGGATGACGTATGAAAAGGTTGAATATATGAAGAGTAATGGTCTATATATGATTGGATGACGTATGAAAGGGTGAAAATGTGAAGAGTAATGGCGAACGGAAAAATAAAAGTGTCCGGGGGCGGGAATCGAACCCACAACCTTCTGCTTACCGGGCAGGTGCCATGTCCACTAGGCTACCCTGGACGTATTTTTCCGTTCGTAACTAATACTTAAAGTAACTTTTTTAATACAATATAAAGGACTGCGGTGTATGATTATAAAGTAATACTTAAAGCCTCCCCGCATCTATATAAAACTTTAATATTTTCCCTTTGTGTATTCATTCTTCCCATGGGCATCATTTTGTTCTGCCTTGTAGATGAGATTTGTGTAGCACTTCGATAGAGCACAAACCTATTAAATATTACAATTGCCTTCAAATATAAAAAATGAAAAATAAAATAAAACTCAAATATGCAACTATATACATAACTATGCAACTATTTATACAACGCAACTATACGACTATATACACAACTCTTCTATGCAACTATATATACAACTCATCTATACAACTATATGCACAACTCATCTATGCAACTATATATACAGCTCATCTCTACAACTATATGCACAACTCATCTATGCAACTATATATACAACTCATCTATACAACTATATGCACAACTCATCTATGCAACTATATGCACAACTCATCTATGCAACTATATGCACAACTCATCTATGCAACTATTTATACAACGCAACTATACGACTATATGCACAACTCAACTATACAACTATATATACAACTCATCTATACAACTATATTCACAACTCAACTATACAACTATATATACAACTCATCTATACAACTATATGCACAACTCATCTATACAACTATATGCACAACTCATCTATGCAACTATATGCACAACTCATCTATGCAACTATTTATACAACGCAACTATACGACTATATGCACAACTCAACTATACAACTATATATACAACTCATCTATACAACTATATGCACAACTCAACTATACAACTATATATACAACTCATCTATACAACTATATGCACAACTCATCTATACAACTATATGCACAACTCATCTATGCAACTATATGCACAACTCATCTATGCAACTATTTATACAACGCAACTATACCACTATATGCACAATTCAACTATACAACTATATATACAACTCATCTATACACCTATATGCACAACTCATCTATGCAACTATATATACAACTCATCTATACAACTATATGCACAACTCATCTATACAACTATATGCACAATTCATCTATGCAACTATATATACAACTCATCTATACAACTATATGTACAACTCATCTATACAACTATATACACAACTCATCTATGCAACTATATATACAACTCATCTATACAACTATATGCACAACTCATCTATGCAACTATATGCACAACTCATCTTTGCAACTATATATACAACTCATCTATACAACTATATGAACAAATCATCTATACAACTATATGCACAAATCATCTATGCAACTATATATACAACTCATCTATACCACTATATGCACAACTCATCTATGCAACTATATGCACAACTCATCTATACAACTATATGCACAAATCATCTATGCAACTATATATACAACTCATCTATACAACTATATGCACAACTCATCTATACAACTATATGCACAACTCATCTATGCAACTATATATACAACTCATCTATACAACTATATGCACAAATCATCTATGCAACTATATATACAACTCATCTATACAACTATATGCACAACTCATCTATACAACTATATGCACAACTCATCTATACAACTATATGCACAACTCATCTATGTAACTATATATACAACTCATCTATGCAACTATATGCACAACTCATCTATACAACTATATGCACAAATCATCTATGCAACTATATGCACAACTCATCTATGCAACTATATATACAACTCATCTATACAACTATATGCACAACTCATCTATACAACTATATGCACATTTCATCTATGCAACTTTATGCACAACTCATCTATGCAACTATATATACAACTCATCTATACAACTATATGCACAACTCATCTATACAACTATATGCACAACTCATCTATGCAACTATATATACAACTCATCTATACAACTATATGCACAACTCATCTATGCAACTATATATACGACTCATCTATACAACTATATGCACAACTCATCTATACAACTATATGCACAAATTATCTATGCAACTATATATACAACTCATCTATACAACTATATGCACAACTCATCTATACAACTATATGCACAACTCATCTATACAACTATATGCACAACTCATCTATGCAACTATATATACAACTCATCTATGCAACTATATGCACAACTCATCTATACAACTATATGCACAAATCATCTATGCAACTATATGCACAACTCATCTATGCAACTATATATACAACTCATCTATGCAACTATATGCACAACTCATCTATACAACTATATGCACATTTCATCTATGCAACTATATGCACAACTCATCTATGCAACTATATATACAACTCATCTATACAACTATATGCACAACTCATCTATACAACTATATGCACAACTCATCTATGCAACTATATATACAACTCATCTATACAACTATATGCACAACTCATCTATGCAACTATATATACGACTCATCTATACAACTATATGCACAACTCATCTATACAACTATATGCACAAATTATCTATGCAACTATATATACAACTCATCTATACAACTATATGCACAACTCATCTATACAACTATATGCACAACTCATCTATGCAACTATATATACAACTCATCTATACAACTATATGCACAACTCATCTATACAACTATATGCACAACTCATCTATGCAACTATATGCACAACTCATCTATGCAACTATATATACAACTCATCTATACAACTATATGCACAACTCAACTATACAACTATATGCACAACTTAACTATACAACTATATGCACAACTCATCTATGCAACTATATATACAACTCATCTATACAACTATATGCACAACTCAACTATACAACTATATGCACAACTCATCTATGCAACTATATATACAACTCATCTATACAACTATATGCACAACTCAACTATACAACTATATGCACAACTCATCTATGCAACTATATATACAACTCATCTATACAACTATATGCACAACTCATCTATGCAACTATATATACAACTCATCTATACAACTATATGCACAACTCATCTATACAACTATATGCACAACTCATCTATGCAACTATATATACAACTCATCTATACAACTATATGCACAACTCATCTATACAACTATATGCACAACTCATCTATGCAACTATATATACAACTCATCTATACAACTATATGCACAACTCAACTATACAACTATATGCACAACTCATCTATGCAACTATATATACAACTCATCTATACAACTATATGCACAACTCATCTATACAACTATATGCACAACTCATCTATGCAACTATATATACAACTCATCTATACAACTATATGCACAACTCATCTATACAACTATATGCACAACTCATCTATGCAACTATATATACAACTTATCTATACAACTATATGCACAACTCATCTATACAACTATATGCACAACTCATCTATGCAACTATATATACAACTCATCTATACAACTATATGCACAACTCATCTATACAACTATATGCAAAACTAAATTAGGAAACTATATACATAACTAAACTATGCAACTATATATACAACGCAAATATGCAACTATAACTAAACTATACAACTATATATAAAACGCATCTATGCAGCTATATACTTAACTCAACTATTCAAATAGATAGACAAATACCCCCGCTGTAGCAGCGTAGATAATGATTTTGTTTTTGATCCGTTTTATTGAGCGACCAGGGAGTTCAGTGCCAGGCGTTGTTAACAAGACACAAAAGTTGAAATTAAAACTTTGGAACAACATCTAAATGAAATTTTCTAGTTTGGAGAAATACATTTTGCCCAGGGAGGTGGGCTTCGTGACCTATTTGCATTCTCCACCGCCGATATTGTGGATGCATTATTCATACGTTGTGGGGCGGGCGGATTTATTTCACGGCCTTATGGAAAATCTTGCCGAGTTCTGGCGGCCGAATGTCGCGGGATAATTACGCTAGACATGGCGACTTGGTTCAGGGGGATCAGCTGAGGTGAATGTGAGTTAAATACATCTTGTTAAAAAAACTTAAGTTGTGTCAGTCATTCAGTGACTTCCCTGCTTATTACTCGGGTCATCACCTCTGATTTAAGACGACGTAAGCAACTCTTGGGGAGAGGTTTTGTATTTTATCATCTACTCAGCAAGATAAACACACCACCATTGGATAGTGGGCTACCTAGACCGAAGTCTGTACGCCTGACAAGATAAACACATCCTAGGAGAAATATGGCCACCAAGAACTCTCGGTCCATAAGCCGGCCCTTTTTCAGTCACCTAACCATGGGAATGATGCATTCTCTATGCACCGAGCGGTTTGGCCCCTCGCGCCCGCCTTTATGGTCTAGCTCCATGGGGTCGACCAACCAGCCCACAGACGTCTACGAGAGTTTCATGGTCAGGTTGCTGTCCTCTCGTTCGGACTTGGTTAAACCCGTCCTACGCTCCAATAGGACTTTCGTACCCTTAGTTCCCAGTACTTCCTGAATCTGGCGACGAATCAAGGACCTCTGAGGTTGACACAGGGAACCTGTGGTGTTACTACTATGTGTACTTCTTGGGTTTCCATGACGCGCTCGGCAAGGACGCTCCCAATCGCGCGCACACAGAGCGAAGACCCAAGAGTTTCAAGACTAATGGCGCAACTGCGTCAGTGAAACCACTGGCATGAGGACAACCCCGCGAAGTCGCCTCTACACTCCCTCTTCCCCAAGGGTGTGGGCGCCCCTGCTTTTTCCCCAACCAACAGGCCAGTTCCAAGGCAGGGTCTTCTTTCCCCGCACAAGATAAACACACGTGGAATCCTTTAAACAATGACGTAATGAATATATCTCTCTACGCTGTCATAAAAGTTCACATATAGAGAAATAACACACCGCTGTCCTGCAGTAAGAATACCACCACGTGTCAATAACACTGGGCTGCTGCAAGGATCCAT